ATAACATTATTTGATTATTTTGTGGAAGGCTATGGACTTGATATTCTCTAAATTTAGAACGTTTTCTAACTATATTTTACTTTACGTCTTGCAATTATAATAATTCCTGGAATCCAATATGTTGGCAACGTACATTCTGGTTGTTAGAAAGTTTTCTAATATTGCAGACTTTCAAGCATATAATGAAAGAGCTACAGGGGGCAATAATTATTGGTTCAACTTTTCAAGCCTTCCTGGGATACAGTGGATTAATGGCATTGCTGTTAAGGTATATGTATATTCTCTGTTTGAATGGCCCTATTTGAAACTTTTTCTCTTACTGGATATGGATAATGCTTAAAGTTCAATGGGTGGGAGATAAGATTTCTGCATTATGTTATTGACGAGATGCTGTTGCCTCCCAAATTAAATTCTGTTGTATGATTGGTGTTTGTCATTTGGAAGCTCAGTATTAGTGGATTCTGGCTACTGTGTAAACCATGGAAATTTGGGTTTGTCCTCAGACTGCACCAACACAATTCGATATGATAAAGTGTTAAGGTTTCATAATATAGCTTGGGAGTTAATATTTGCACGATACTACAGACTAATTATTTGGATTATGAAACTGCTATACTTCCAAAAAGATCCATGGAGATTTTGGGATCCCTGTTCACCATTGACCTGAAATAAAAATATAATTTGCTTCTTTCCATAAACTGACTAGAGTATGCAAAAGAATAGAGCTGCTAGCATCTTACAAATCTAGATTCAAAGACTAGTATATTTTGAGCAAAATTAGTGAAGATGAGGAGAGAAACATGTTGCTAATCAAAGATTATGTATATGCCTGTTCACTGTCCCTGGCTTGCAAATCGTGAAAATTCAACAGCCTGTTGCTTCACATAAGAAGTTGTGAAGCAGGGAGAGACGTAGTGGCGGGACATGGTTTCCAGGGCACGCGTTAAATAATGAGATTTTGTCTGTCTTCCATACGTGAGCATGAGATGGTATGGATGATTAAGCATTGCCACATGGCAGCACTCTTTCCTCATTCATTGCCCCATGTTTTAATGACCGATCAAACTACTGCGGTGGTCAAGATGGTCCAACCAACTGCTCAGCCAGCTGATCATGGTTGATTTCCTGGAGGTTTGAGGTTTATGAAAATGGTTGCCTGGTTGTTTCTGGAAATGACTTACAGACAATGATGGAGCCCACTTGCTTTCTTTATTCAATGACGTGTCTACCTAGTGATGGGGAATAAAGTTATGAATTAGAAGAGACGGGATTTAAAAGATAAAGAGTTTAATTTATATTTCAATAGTTTTGATTATCTAGAACTTTATCATTACGAGTAGTTATTTACTAGAAGTTTTGTTGGGTTCAAGTTCTTTACCCTATGAAAGGAACCTGGGATTTCATTTGTAACTAGACTATATTGATGATTGAAATCATTCTTCTCTGTTTTCCTCCCTTTTATCCTTCTTCTCTCATTTCTCACCTTTCTCCTCCTCTCATCTCTCTCTCTCTCTCTGCCTCCTTTTTGTGTTGTGTTCTACATCAGTTTGGTATATGAACAAAGTTACTGTTCACATAAGTTCTTGTTTATTTCAATTCATGGTTGACTCCTACTCTTTGGCATGACCTTAGCATGAACTTTATCTTACCACTACCTCATATGAATAAAATTCATCCTCCACCTCAAGTAGTTTTGGATAAATTTCTTAACTTGCCACATTCTAGGCATCATTCCAAAACTATTGATGCTTTCTGTGTTGCTATATCACCTTTCAAGGCTATTATTCGTTAACCTAATTCCCCTATTGACCTTAATTGCTTCTTGCTAAATACTGTCACAATATACTTGATTTTAATGCACCTTGTAGGCACAAAAATTTCGAAGAAGAGTATTATGTGTTTCTCACAAATTTCTTTAATGCGATATCCTACCCACCTTAAGAAAAGGTCAAATCGTCAATCACTTGAAATTAAATCTCATATACTTGACTGGACATTGCACTAAAATACGAGTATCGTTTTCAAGAATGGCTGGGCATGCTACCAAGGAACAAAAAAATAAGATGCTATTCAGCTTTGTGAAAACAAAGATTGGATTTTTTTGCTGACACATTTATGGTTGGAGAGAATGAATACAGCTAAAAGACAACAATTGTAAGAGAAAAGTAGGAAAAAGGGAAAGTTTGTTTTCTCTACGCTCTGGTGCAATTACACAGTTAAGCCTCCGATTGGATACAAACTTATAGATGATTTTATAAATTCAATCAAAGTCAAACATTTATTTCAATCGCACATTCATACCTACTAATTGTTATCTCCACATTTCTTGAGATCAGCTAGACCAGCTACTATTTCTTACTATTCCTATTTATAAATCATTTCTAAAATGGCTAAATGGAGGCTAAAGTGCAAAAATCTTGCAATGCTATGTTATGCCCCAGGGATTGGAAATTAGATCCTATTCTAGAAGCAATATTCTAAAAGGCGCGCCTATGTGGCAGAAACGTTAAGTCAAGTGGCTTGGCAGGAATAAATCGCCAGTTGTTGTTACGTTGACCGCTAATGTGCGTATAGGAGCGAATTTAAATTTTTTTATAATTCTTTTAAGTTAAAATTTTAAGGTTGATTTACAATTGAAATTTATTTTTTTGTTGAAAACTTTTGAAAAATGTATAAAGTTTCTATAAATCTATTTTAGATATTTGATAGATATTATTTTTAATTATTAAATGATTTTTTGATTGATTAAAAATTAAAATAATATTAAGAGTGTGTTGAAGCCACATTATTTTGATAGAATGTTTGATGGAAAATGTGTGGTTAAAATTGAAGAAAAAGTTATTGCTGTGATGAGAAATATTATTTTATTGAAAAATATGGTTGAAAATGAGTAGAAGAATGAGAATGAAAATTTTAATGTGGATCAAACGGGGCTAAAATAAGAAAATGCATTTTTACTCATATGCCTCGCATAAGCTCACCTAGCCCATAGCTTGGCCTCCATGCATCGCCACGCATTACGACTTTTAGAACACTGTCTAGAAGTAGGTGATTCTAAACGATAACAATATAAATTACACGTGGAACTATAATTACATGTGTTTTCTGTTTCTTTTCTATTTTGCTGGTGCAGCATTCACAGTTTTCAACCACACTAGAGATTTCGGTTCTTTTTCTTAAATCTTGAAGCACGTTAAAGACATCGTTCTTTTAATTTGGAATGACCCTTAATGTTCTCTTCTACATCTATTGTCCTCTTTTGACCATAGTGATGCAAGTTTATTGAGAAAAATGAAAAAAGTAAAAAAGGGTTGCTCAAAGACAATTTTATTCATCTGTGGTTGGCGTTCATGCTGTATATAAAGCCACGTAATAAAAGCATCTTGTTGATTGCAACTGATCCTTTTCACAAAGACTGAACTTTATTCCCTCTGTTGCAATGTTTCTGTTCCTACCAGGATTACAAATGCTCAATAACCCATCACCAGTTCGTTTACCCCTTTCTTTCAGGTTAATTAATCCAGTGGTTGTGGCCCCTACCATTGCTGCTGTTGGACTTTCTTTTTACAGCTATGGTTTCTCACGAGTTGGTACCTGCATTGAAATTGGTGTTGTTCAGATATTATTTGTGGTTCTTTTTTCTCTTGTAAGTTAACCATCCTGTTCTGATACTTCTTTTCTAAAGTCATATCCTCTCTCTTAATGCAAGCATGATAATGCTGTTTCTTTGAAATTGTTTTGTTACTGGCCTAGCCGGTTTGAGGAGAAAAACTGAGAACTGGCTCTGAAATTGGTTTGATTATAGCGTAAAGCATATCGTAAATTTAAAAAACCTGTATGAAACTCGGTCAAGTAGGGTTGGCTAGGTTTTATGCATTATTTAGAAAAAAAAAAGACTTTTTTTGTCGGAAAGATTGATGCTGATAGGTATCATGCTCTGTTATGAATATTCTAGAACCATATTGTTTGGATTTTATTTTTACATTAATGAAAATTATGGCATCTGGTTCGACCTTGGTACCTTTTAAGGGTGAATACCTATGTCGGGTTTTATTACATTGATATTATGTATGTACTTTTTGTGACTTTTTATTTATTTATCTTGCAGTACCTTCGCAAAATATCGGTGTTGGGTCACCGTGTATTTCTGATTTATGCTGTAAGTTAACATCTGTACTTCTGGTTTTCTCTGGTCAATGTCTAGTGTACATTTTGAGTTAATATTTCCTTGTATAAACCTAGGTTCCACTGGGTCTTGCCATTACATGGGCAGCGGCTTTCCTTCTGACTGAAGCTGGAGCATATAGCTACAAAGGTTGTGATGTGAATGTACCAGCCTCAAATATAATATCTAATAACTGCAGAAAGCACGTTTCAAGAATGAAGCAATGTCGCGTTGATACTTCTCATGCATTAAGATCTTCTCCATGGTTTAGATTTCCTTACCCATTACAATGGGGCACACCTGTCTTTCACTGGAAGATGGCCCTTGTAATGTGTGTGGTGTCAGTAATCTCTTCAGTTGATTCAGTGAGTCCTGGCTTGATCTGCTCTTGTCGGTTTATATTGCCATTGGATATTCTTATTGCTATTTAATTTATTGTCTCTCTGAATCTTCATTTTCATTACTATTTCAGCTCAATTTTGATTTAGATATGGAGGGAAGTGAAAGGAAAAGTTACATAACGTGTCTTTCCTACTACTGGGGAATGACAAAAAATTTCTGCTTTCTTATTTTTGCTAATTTTTTTTTCTTCCTGCCCAAATAAAGACAAATTTCTCATGTGATGTTGAGTTTTTTTTTCCCCTATAATATGTCTTAAAATGTGGATTGCAGTCAGGTTATGATGATGGTTTGAGAGCAAGCCCCTCTATCAGGAACCATTATGTCAATAGTTTCTATACCTTAGCACATGCAAGCTGTAAATTAAAATATATAGAAGGAAATTTAATGAAACGTCTCAAGATGTAGACAGTGTCAAAGCAAAGATAAGAATGTAGAAGCATGTACACGCACTTCAAGCTCACTGTATTTCAAGTTCTTATTTTCTTTCTTGTTTTTATTATTTATGTTTTAGTATTCTTATGTGACATTGTAAAACATGTATCTGCAACATGTCATACATTGTTCTGTTTCTGTTGATTTTGGAGAAATTGTAGAAAATTCAAACTTGCATTTTAGAGTTGTCTTTTGACTGGGACATTTGGAGCTAAAAATGCTTATAGTTACATCTTTTATACATAAAGAGTTTTCAAATATATACTCAAAAACTAACGGTAAAAATCTAATTGCTTAGGTAATGGCATCTTTAGAGAGGGAAAAAGAAATTGCTTTTTGGAAGTGGTAGTCATTTGTGATATGTCATGTAGGAAATAGGAGCAGAATAATTTGAATGATGAAGAAGAGGCATGGATGAATATTCTATAACAAGTTCGTCATGTTATTCAGTTATTTCTGTATAACCTTTGTACTTTAGATAAGCTTTTGACTGACACGTTTCGTAATATCTAGGTTGGTTCATATCATGCATCTTCGTTGCTAGTAGCATCCAGACCTCCAACACCTGGCGTTTTAAGTCGAGGGATTGGTCTTGAAGGTGTTTCCAGCATTTTGGCTGGTCTTTGGGGCATTGGAACTGGCTCCACAACTTTGACTGAAAATGTGCACACTATTGCTGTTACTAAAATGGGAAGTCGCAGAGCAGTCGAGTTGGGTGCATGCGTTGTAATTGTCCTATCCCTTATAGGTATTTGTCTTGCAAATTGACTTTCTGAAATTTATTCTAACAAATGCATGAATACTGAGAAATGGGATCCATCTCCGTTCTGATGTTACGTGCACTAGTTATATATTTGGTATTGGACGTAGTTAACAAACAAAAAAGAAGTTAAAATCTTGATTACTTAATTGTCTATTTCTACATAAAAAACGTGCGCATTGTTTTTTGCCAGTAAGTGGAGAAATTGTTTGATGGTTAAGTTTTCAGTTTTCAGCAATAAATGACCTTTTTTATTTTATTGTCATGCTACCAGGTAAAGTCGGGGGATTTATTGCATCAATCCCCCAAGTGATGGTTGCAGCTCTCTTGTGCTTTATGTGGGCAATGCTTACAGCGTTGGGCTTGTCAAATCTTCGTTATAGTGAGGCAGGGAGTTCAAGGAACATCATAATTGTAGGCTTGTCTATGTTCTTTTCCCTATCAATACCAGCTTATTTTCAGCAGTATGGTATATCTCCAAACACAAACTTGTCTGTCCCGAGTTACTTTCAGCCATATACAGCGGCTTCTCATGGTCCGATTCACACCAAATTTTCAGGGGTATGTCGTCTCATTTCCTTTACCAAATGTTTGTAGGGAAAAATTTCTGCCATTGGTATTCAATCAATTGTTTGAATTGTAAGTTGATTCTCAATCTTCAAAGGGAGCAATCTGAAGCCTTTCATTTTAGTTGCACAATAAGTCCATACCAGCAAAAACCGTCTAAATCTCTCTAACTGGTCCTTTGTTGAACTTTATGAAGTTAGGTTTTCTTTTTCAACTTGGGTTGGTTCCTAAATATAAGAAAGTAAAAATTTAATAAATTCTATGGTTTTTGTCCTAGAAGACTGATTCTGTAACTATAACGAAAGGTGAGGAACAACTCGTCACTAGAGCAATAAATTTGGGGACCAATTATGCATTCTTTCCAATTTTATAAGAATTTGTCTTGAAAGTTCTTTATATGTATTGCAGCTCAACTATGTTCTGAATACGTTGTTGTCACTTCACATGGTGATCGCATTCCTAGTAGCCGTCATCCTTGACAACACGGTACCGGGCAGTAGACAGGAACGTGGGGTGTACGTATGGTCCAAACCTGATACAGCAAGAAGGGAGCCTGCTGTAACTAAAGACTATGAGTTGCCTTTAAGAGTCGGCAAAGTTTTCAAATGGGTAAAATGGGTCGGACTTTAGGATTTAGACGTTTTGATTTTGTTTTAGCCAATATCATAGTTGTTGAGCTCATTGGAAGCCATTTACTGGGTCCGGGAAATCGTCTGATAAAAAAGAAAGCATCTCAGGTTCGTGTACCGCTGCATAAAACTCGTTTTGCTTACATGTTGTGACTTCACCAGCATTACATCATTGAGGTGAGCTGTTGATGTAGGCTTCATGGGAGTTGTCTTGTAGAGATGCGCTGTTGGTGTATATTAAAGAATTTTTTGTAACCTCTTCTTTTTCTTTGGTGGGTGGGTTGGATTCTCTCTGTATGTAATTTTGAGTTGAAAACGGCAGACTTCTCTCTCCTGTTTTTCTTACCCCAGTTGCAGTTTTTAGACTGAAAGCTCCTACAAATGTTGCATGGTCGCTGTTTATTAATTTTTTATCTAAAGTTTTTATTCAAAATGATGCTAATTACACTAAGAACTAAGAATGTTTCCCATTTAATTAAATTACTTTCACATAATCAAAATGACAATGAAATTATATTTGTAAGCTTATTCTCAAACTTCGTGGCATGTGTCTTTTCCTAATATTAAATGAATTATGCTCATTGTACACTCCTTGTGTACATAGAGTTTGACACTCCTTTGCAAATTCGAAAATGGAGTGGCGGGAAAGAGTGGTATTTTCAAACTGATCAGTTGTGCTGTAACATGTAGCACAATGTCAAATTTGATGTTAAAAATAATGTACTTGCAGCATGATTGATATTATATTATTTGAAAGACGGCAACTTGGGAAAATGTGGTTAAAAATAGGGGTGTAGACGGTCTGATTTTACCTATTTTTGACAAATTTTCAAATCAAACCGTTTCAACCGTTTTGAGAAAAACTCAAACCTAAACCAAACCGTTTTGACCGGTTTGAAAAAAACTCAAACCTAAACCTAACGGTTTGGTCCGGTTTTAAACCGTCGGTTTCGCCTATATTTTTTTTTTCATGTCTAGTATCTACTTTTATGCCATTAATTCAATATATATTTATATCTTACTAAAAATAAATCTAAAACAAACTAAATGTATTTACTATAAATTTAAATAACAACAAAATAAAAGTAAAATCACAATAAACTAAAGCATAGTTTTTTATTCGTCCTTTTGACATTTTAGGATAATACTTTACGATAAAGATACAATACAAGTCCACTAAAATAAATATAAGGTCCAAAAAAACATAATAATATCCCTTTTCAACTAGCAAAAGGAATAAACGAATTAATTTTGTCA